TATCAATCACTGGATTGTCTGGTCCAGACTCGATTATTTACAGACCGCCGTCATATAGCTGGAATATTGCTGAGTGCGGCGTTAAACAACAAACCGGACCAACAACTGCTGCTGATGACAATGAGGATGATTGCCGTAAACTTACTTTTCAAAACAGAATACCAGTCAGCATCAGGAATGTCGTCATTCTTCTTTCCTACGTAACACAATCCCCTCGTGCCATTATAGCCAAAAAGAAGACAGCCCTGCGAGGCACAAATCATCAAACATTGTATTACAGAAGGTTGGACAAATTCCAACGAACTTGCAAAGCCATGATTGAATACCAGGTGTTCGTTGTAAATAATACTCAACACAACAATTGAGTGCAAAATAATCATAGAGATCTTCATTCCTTACAAATGGAAATATGAAATATGAAAACGGGTCGAGAAAAGACACTGGTTTCTTGCAACGACACTAATGTGAGATTGTAAGCATTTCACCTTGTATTCATTGGTTACAGCGACTATACGTTTCGTATCAAATAAAATATTTATGGTTAAGGGAAGAGTTTCTGGGTAGCCACCTAAATTATATAGATCAACAGTTGAAAAGTCAATGAGGAGTGTCGTGATATAGCTTGGTACATCAAAATTTAATGATTAGATTATTTCTTTTAAACAGCACAATATAAAATGAGAATTTACATTACTTAAAAGGTTCTTGAGTGTTTTTACATTGAAATATTTATATTATATTGATTCTTTCATCTACTGTAAATTAGAACTATTATCTGGTAATATTGAAGATATGGTTCTGGATCCAAGGATATGGGCTCTAGCAAGTGCGCCACCATCCATGGATCCATCTGTAAATATAGATTTGTAAGTGGCATATGTGTTTATTAATTGATTGTATTCTAACAGATTGTATTGGTGACAGCTAACGGGGACATCGTCATTAAAATAATGGCTTGTGTATTCCTTGTACATTCTATCAAAAGGGTGCCAGATCGTAGATTTTTTTAAATTCTTCAACTCACCAGCTTTACCTTTAAAAGTCTCGTTCCAAAAAGAAATGGTGAATACGAATTCAGAGTATGGCCAACCTTAGCTTCCATTACATGGAACTGAGGCCAAGTATCCCTCTCGGAATACAATAACCTGGTCACTGTGTCATCATCAGATGAATCGAGTTCAGAATCAGATTCTGAGAGTTGCCGTTGCGGTCTTTTGGGGTTTTGTTTTCCCATGGTTGTATTGACTGTTGTTCAGCAAATTCCCACGGAGCGCCAACAAGGGCCATGCTATCTGTAAGCGGTATTCCAGCAAACCAACACCATAGGGATACAGGCATGTTAAACTCCAGCAGAACAAAAGAATCAACCAGATTGGCCCATGATCCCCCGACTTCTTGGCATTCGACACAAGGCAAATTAGAAAAAGAAACCATGCATTTGGAATTTAAGTAAAACATCACTTGACCAAGACTAAAGCAAATTATTCCAACATTAAAAAACACTTGTACACGACAATAATGACGCACAGGGCTTAGTATGACTGACTGATATGACCTGCCCATCCTTGATCCTACAACCCGTTAGTTACCCGCAAAGTTAGGGTCAAAGTGGTGTGGTGTGTTGGACTAAGGAACACTTTTGACAGCTCCGGCGTCCTCAGACGTCAGACTCTCTTCCTCCGCCGACACAGGGACGCAAGTCACGGCAAACGGGTTGCCCAATTTTATCGCCTTTTATGACAAGCAATGGGGTGCTGAGGACGCATTCTACCCCCAGTCCCCACGGGGATTGTATCAGGGGAATTGAGTGTGCATAAAAAGGCATTTTTATGTTTGAGGTATTGTCTCCCTTGTTCTGCTTTGGCATTTGTATGTTTTAACGTTTTTAACGAAGTTTAGTTAAAGTGCAAACAGTATCGAATACAACATGTTTGTCTCTTTTACTAATATCGATTTCAACATAATTACATGTTATCAAAGTTGGAGTATTTGGGTTCTAACATCATTTGCATGAAACAAGTTCTTTACTGTATTGCTATTGATAGTAGGGTATGGCGATGACCGTTGTGTATTATACTTCAAAATATGTAGAAAGATGTAAAGTTAGGTTTTATGTAACTTTGCCACAGATAGCTATAAGCTGGACAAATTAACAGTGATATTCAGTTTCGATAAATTATGAGAACTAAGCCGAAATTCAGTCAATGTGGTCCTTAACTTATTTACAGTTATACTACTTAAATAGTTCTCACATGAAATGGATGTTTTTAAACTGTACATTATAAGCATTTTTGGGACTTTCGGATAAGTCACTATGCCAAACCTCTCAAAAGTTGTCTTTTAACAACTGACGTAACATGTAAACATACGATTTTATTGCCATATGTTTGAAAGAGCCAGTATCACCAAATCCCAATCTTAAAATAACTGTGTTAGGTTTGATTACCCAATTTACTTGCCCTTGTCCAAAGTAAAATCGTTGCATATTATAACATTTTAGGGGTAAACGATTGCTGCATATTTATAATATAAGGGAGGTCTTTCATTTACTGCCCGACGAAGGGGGGCAGTTGAAAAGACCGAGGGCTTCTGCAAATGATAATGCCCTGAAAAATAGCGTTACCGTTATTATAACTAAAAAGGATAGACTTTGTTATCAAATAAAAAAACCCAACAATATTGGTTTTGAAACATTAACTGCAATGAACACACAACGAACGTCACTGACCCACTTTTACAAATATGGAAACGTCACAGAACAAACCAGATGACGTCATACTGAACGTTATATGACGTCACTACTGCACGTCATATGACGTCACTATTGAACGTCATATGACGTCACCTGGCCCGTCGTCAAGCAATATGAGGGCATTATCAAGTTACAGTGGCCCTCTCATTTCGGATAACTTGCGGGCGGTTTAATTGGAATTCTATCCATTTTAGCTATAAGAGACAATATTTATTTATGGTGTCATCACTGATTTTAAGTGATCCGTTCATATTATCTTTATCACTATGTTGCCTTTTACATCCCATGGAAACTGTTTCAACAGATAATCGTGACCGATTATTATGTTACGCCCGAAGTTTTACTAGCGAGGTCACTGCTTTCCTCTGGTTTTACTATATAATAGCAAGGTGAGGTGTTTTTACCGACTTATGAACCGTCGAAACAACATTTCTTATATTTGTTTAACACTATGTATCGAAGTGCGTTGCTACAGTCTAAAGAAACGCTCGTAAAATAAATCTGGTAAGGACACATTCGCTAAAGATGATCACTTCAACCGGTTCTGTGGTCAAATGCGTAGAGTGCCCGAATACTGATCTGGGGGTTGTGAGATCGATACGCGTCATCTCTTATTGAAACCGTTCCATTTTTTGTCTTCGATTTTAGAACATTGGACGTTTGAAACACCAAGTCCTACTTCATCTGCTTCTCTTCTCATCAGGCCATAAGCAAGACCCAAGATGACCCACTGCAGCCAACGTTGTCTTGCAAACCTGAGTCTGTGACTAAAGATCTGACCTTGCTGGGGTTGACGTGCACGAATGCACTGTTCAACCATTCCTTGCATCAGCAGTCGAAGCAGCTGTTTTAAGAGGAATTGCTGAGGATAATGATGGCTGAGTGTGATGTTACGATCTTATCATGCTGACTGCCCGATCATTCGTGTGTCTTGCATCCAAATGGCTTGGTTCCTTTGTGCAACATTGAGGCTGGCATTTGGGTTATGTACACTGACGGCAAACAGCCTGTGGATTTATAGGGCTTTGCAAGTGGAACATCATGTTTGCAAACAAGCACATGCATTCGAATGAACCACTAGGAGTTTAATCCCCCGAGGATGATTGTGATTGGCATACAGAACATTGACTACCAAACACTATACTGTTTCGTTACAGTCAATTTGATTTAATCAAATTGCGTTGTCACTGCCTCTCATTGCATCTGTATATTATCCATAATGGTAAAGTAAACGTAAAGTTCATATATATGTATAGACATTCAGAGGTTGTTATCTATGTGTATTGGATTTAAAAATATACAAGAAAATGTAATTTGTTACTAAGGTTATACAGAAGAAAAGAAAGTGCACTAGATGTCCATGAGAACCAACAATCACCATGAAGTTTGGTCCCTTCACTGTTGATAACATGGCATCAGGTGGCATCATATTCCGTGTATGCCTTTTCGAAAAGTATCGCCACGAGTCCTCTATTAGATCTAGAGATTTTCGAATGACATAATGGTTTTTGACTGGTCATTCCCAACCAATTTGCCTCAATTGGTAACTAAATCCGGTGCTTCAGCTAAGGCAGATATTGACGAGCTATTGACTCCACTTTCTACCCAATACAGCCCTTTTAGAGGTGCACCGAAAACAAAATTGTCCCAGAAAATGATTGAAAAATAGAAAGAAATTGTCCGCCACAAAAATCAGTTGTTGCATGATGCTTTTAAAAAAGAAATATTTAGACTAGAAGTTTTAATGAAAAACATATCCAGTTTTGCAGCTGTAGCTGAAAACATTCATTTAAATATCTCGTAACAATATATCAAAGAAATTGGTGAGTATAATACATTTTGAACATATTTATATCACATGTTTATTGTAGCTGATATAAATATGTCTGGGTATGTCTATTCAATTTGTTTTGCATTAAATGTATGATATTCACCTGTCTATTCTACTTTACATGTTCCTTTGTGAACGTGTTGTCGTCGCGACATGGCCGAGATTCACTCATTACGTTTGACTAACTCACTTCTAACACTGTGGCAATACAATGCATTTTTGGGTGTAACAGGAATTCATTCATTGTTAGAACATTTACATGTACATCACCAAGTCGCAAAATATTGCCCTCCTTAAAGGATAACAACAACAATAAACCGTACCTTTTGTCATAGGAAGGTGTATCAAAGACCCACAGGGGCGGAGTAAGTCATAGAAACCCGTATACGAAACGTTACTGACATTTATTGATCTTTATTCAGAAATAATGCACTACTGATGTGTACATTAAACCTTCCTTGAACCGGACAGATTATATACTATATAAAACCACAATAACACCAAATCAATTTAGATGTATGTCCCAATACCAGTGCTATCCCAGTGGGGAATCAGTCACCATCTGAATTCTATTTCTTGCACACAAAATGTACCTCAAACGAATCTGTGCCACTCACAGACTCGTTTATGATGGTGAAACCAGCTTTGGCAACCATCTCTCTTGCCAAAGGTGCACCCCACGTTGCCCCAAGAGCTGCAGAGTCGGGCTTGCGGTAGCTTTCCGGAATACACAAGAAAGAGCTTACCGAGTAGTAGAACATCGCTGAAGGATTAGCAATGTTGCCAGTTATGCCCCCCTCTATTCCAACATCAATCATGCTGTAAATCCCACCTGGTTTCAGACACCGGTAAATCTCGTTTAAGGCTTCCTGTGGATGTGTTAAGTCGTGAATAACTTCACGGGTCAGTATCCAATCAAATCTCTCCTTGAAGCTTTCAGATATGGTTTCAATATTATCTGTGTCATAAGTGACATTCTGAAGGCCCTTGATGTTTGCTTCCTCCCTGGCTTGCACCAATGGCTCGCTTGCTACATCAGAACCAAGGAAGGTGCTTTTCTTGAATCGCGAAGCCAATTTGTTTAATATGACCCCTGTTGCGCAGCCAAATTCCGCAACATTGATTCCAGATTCTGTATTTCAAAACAAATTAAGCAATAGATGTATTGATTTGTTTCAGGGAGCATGGAGAGTAAATTTCGAAAGTAATCTAAAACGTATTTTTGCTTATTTCAACATTGCAAAACCATAATGCTACATATCAATTTGGTTACATGGTACATAATGGCAAAGCCACAGTCTAGTCACTTCAGAGAAAAGAACATATCAGACAAATGTTCGTATTTGGTTTAAAAAAAACGCGACCAGTGTTTATGAATAACTCATAACATATGCTTACTTGTAATCAAGCATTGTCATCACTTCTATGAAATCATACTGTATTATGCGATCCAATATACCCACCTAATTGTGTCAGCAACAGTGGCACAGAAGGCAGAATATCTGTATCAATAATATCTTTCTTGACAACGACCAAAATCTCTTTCAGTACATCAAAAACACGAGGACATTGACTATAGGCCATTCCTGCAATCAAAGGAAGCAAATTAAGAGATGAAAAGGGAAAAATGAAACCCCATATATACAGCTTGTGTACCTAAAAATAAAGTGGATGAAGTTAGGGTGAACCTTTATCAACATACTTTTTATCATTATCGTTGAAATCCTTCACGATATAATATGATGATATTGAACGAAGCTTAGTTTACTTTAAAACCTCTCAGATTCTAGCATTGTTTATATCCAATATGTTTGTTACTATGTGTGTCTAACTAACTGTAAAAAAGGTTTTGAGGAATAAAAAGTTAATAAAAATGTCTCCTAAAAATATTTTTCCGAAGCAATGTTTTTTATGTGCAGTGATTAAATATTCTGTTGATACATCATAGATGTACCATGCTGTATTGAGAACAAAATTAATATGTGAGTACGCAACTTGTAGAAAAGCACAAAGTTCAAAAGTCATGAGCAATGGTGATGAATTAATACATATATTTCTTTTGCAAGTTTACAAATGCATCTCTCCAATGAAAGTAGAAATTCCAGTCCATCAATATATTTATTTGGGAGTAACAGAACCTCATATATAGGTTGAAAACCAGAGGCAATTTATTGCTATAATATTGTACGCACAGTTTGATTGGAAACTTTATTGTATATTTCCTTGTATTATTCGACATGATCGCTGACCATAACACGTCTTATCATATCCCTGAGCCCATAATTTAGCACACTATATTGGACGTTGTCAAAGACATAAGAGAGGCACCCCTGATTACAAATGTGGGAAAAGTTTTCTGAATGGCTCCCCAAACGTATATTTTCAAGCAATGTATATTTTGGAGTACAGCTGATGGATACATGTATGATTACGAATATGTTTTGATTATTGTTACGTCTATCGATAGCTAGTGTAGATGTTTTGATTATTTCACCGGGTACCTCTGTCTGTATTGTAGTAGGACATACGTGACAGCAATTAATACCTTGACTTACTGTAAATCAAGGCCATTGACAAACTTCACATATTTAAACCAACTGTTCATGTTCATATATGACCCAATGTCATGGCTGACTGTCCGTCTACCATACGCTTTTAAACCTATTCACTGCTGCTCACTTTACATCTTCCCGAGGCAAGGGGGTTAACTGACTATGGACGTCCACCTCAACCTTTGCCGAACTAGGTTTAAGGTTTGGAGTAATATTTTAGCTGGACTAGCGAATCTATGCATAGTCTCTTCAAGGTGCTCAAGTGACTTGATGCACTTCGTAGGTAAGACCCGTTTTATTACAATACTGATCTTGATTATCGTACAGATAGTCTTGACTGGGCGCCACCATCCTGTATGAAGCAAATGCAAGTGAAATGAAAGGTGGAATCTTATCCGTCAATAGGAGTGACACAGAAGGGATATAACCCGATCGAGCCACGAAATTCCAGGCTATTTCTACAAGGATAAAAACTTGACTTTCATAGTCAGTTAACTCTCTTGGCTTTGGACGATGCTCAGTATACGAAAATGAAACTTTGCAAAGACACTAATATCACATCACCTTGTTTTATTCATGTCATTTAGACTCATTCCACTTACTCATACATCCTCTTGCATGTACATGTAAACCTTATTTGATGTGAGTAGTTTTATTCAAGACGCTTTATATTCCCTCTTCCCCTTAAAACGCAAACTAATCTTTTTGAAGATGGTAGAGTTGTTTATAATTTACCTGATTCAAGAAAAACGAGTGAACAAAATCTAATCATAGCACACGTGTAATAATACCATTGTTGAAGTAACAGAAACCGTTGCTGACGTTATGCGGGTATCTTTATTCGATAATGTTAGCTCCTCGATACAGAAGAATTGCTTTTGAAAAGACAATCATAAGATATTGTGAATAAAGAGAGTATTATATGCACGTGTATAGTTTACTGATTGTACGACAGTTGTTTCAGAATGTACGTTTTTCCCTCTCTCTTGAATAGGAACATTCTAACTTGGTATTGTACCTGGTATCAACACAACATGTACGTCTAAATGTTTTCGAAGAAAAGTGCACCCTGCCTGTCAGAGTTTGATGACTTGTTCATAGGACTAGTACATGCAGCTGGACATGTGGCTTTATTTTTGTCACACACTTTAATCTTTCTCTAAAATCAGTTCACCTTTCGATTGGTGTTAAGACAAGCGTACAATAGTTCAGATCATTATTCAAACTACTCACATTGTATAAAAAAACTCCAGTCGTCTTGAATTTTAGGATAAATTACATGCTTTGATTATTAGTAAAGTGCTATTTCTACAGTTGTTTACTATGAAGAAATGTATTGCAAACAATTATATCAGATGATCTTCATAAAATTGGTAACCTCTATAATACCTGCTAATTGTGATCCTTGGTTTGTCAGTATATATGCCCTGTTCATGGATTTCATCAGTGGAATACTCCAAGCACCATTTTTGGCTTTTCTCTCTGATTTACCTGACAAGACTTCATGATGTGACTGAAAAGCCGTTGAAATGGGCATTAAACATCCCACTGACTGACTTACTATCATTATCCAGGAATAATATCCAGGAATATAAGCTGTGTTACAAACACTATGACACAATCATTCAGAAATATGGGGGTTTCCAAAACATCAGGGAACCATTGTTACCATTTTGTAAAATATTCACTAAGTTTTCAAACTGAGGCATATATGTTAATCCCTTTAACATTCACTGTACATTAACAGGAAGGTATATATATATCAGGACGATGTTAATACTGTCTACATCACTTATGGTACAGATACAATAATATGAATGAATAATATGCATGACTTATGGTACAGATACAATAACATGAATGAATAAAATGCATCACTTATGGTACAGATAGAATAACATGAATGAATAATATTCAAATATGTATGTATATATTGGTATTTATATGAATTTGAGGCCACTTGGAAAGAATTGCAGCATGTGTGTCCGGTTCCCAGAATAATTAGGAGTATTACATAAAATAATTGGATTTTTCGATGGCTTCTTCTCAGTAGTGAGTGGGTTCCAGCAATATCACGACGGGGAACACCAGAAATGGGCTAAACGCATTGTACCCATGTCGGGAATCGAACCCGGATCTTCGGCGTGACGAACGCTTTAACCACTAGGCTACCCGACAGCCCCAATACCTCAAAGATAACCTTGAACTTTGAAAGACATGCTATCACATTTTATGTGATAGGAGTTGTAAAGTTTCATGCCCGTGCAGATAATCTATTAACACAAAAATAACCATGTTTTACCAAAGCCAAAAAGACAACAGGCTTTGACCTTTGACCAATTTTTTTTCCAAAGCAGGACTCTATCCTAAAGGCAACATGTGCTGAATGTAATACTTATTGATTTTTGACAAAGTGTGACCGTAAACTCGTAACCTTAGCTTGACCATTTACCTTTAAATAGCCTCCCACTCAAGAATTTTAAGAATGAATCAGGTGTAGCATAACCTCTACTGCCAAATATCTTTGGGCCATATTCAAGTTGACTATAGTAAGCACAGCTGCACACGTGTATTTATCACAAAGGATAGTGTCAATATCGCGTTATGAGTCATGAGGGTAACATCTGGTAGCATCGAACACAAACACAAATTTTACTCTTCTACATACCAAATGGCCAAGGCTGAAACAGTATTATTTTGTTAAGTCCTGATGAAGGAAGCACGAAAGCAGCAGCCAAGAAATTATGATATCTGTATTTAATCACACGAATGGTATTTATTTAGACGACAAAATGCAATTTTTCATTGCAGTTATTTAGGCAAAGGGTATTAGTTTCCACCCCAACACACAAAAACTGGTTCCTCGGCTTTGACGGTTGTAGTTTATACTTACACTGTACAGTGTCTTTGACCTTGACTCGTGGCTAGTACTACCGGTAGGGCAGAGCATGCTAGAAAGATTTTTGTTACTTTGTTGAAATGTGTAAGGAAACAAAACAACACATGGTCTTAACAAAATACGATGACCTTACCACCGGGGTTCTTAAGTTGAACACATTCCTTGATACTGTCATATCTTGAACCAAACTGCTGTAAAATTCGCGAAGAAACAGATATCATGTCGAATGTGCCCTTGCGGTCATCTGGAACATGGAACTGGGTAGCCGAGTCGTCCACGCTGATCACCTCCCCGACTGCCAAGGTTCCAAGGATCTCGCGTACATACATGTGAAAAAAAAATCATAATGTATCCATTTATCAAGTGCAATACAAATGCTTACATTTTGAAATATGATGTATTAATGATTATTATTCCCACATTTCAGGTACATTCCGGCATAATTTCAAATAATCAATGCCAGTACCAGAAATATAGAGGAGAGAATTTCATGTTTTTCATGATATGTACAATTTGAACAAACTTAGCTGTGTGTGTGTGTCTGTGTGTGTGTGTGTGTGTGTGTGTGTGTGTGTGTTTGTGTGTTTGTGTGTGATGCTCATTCCTATTAAAGCGTGTTCATTCACATTTTTACAAACATTAAGACCATATTACCAACTAAAGAGCCTAAAAAATGTAATATCATTTTTATAATTATTTCTATATATTGTCTTACAGGTGTCTTCATAAATCAACAGGTTGTCAGTGTCCACAGAGGTGTGCCGTTAGCCATAACAGTAGCCCGCCATCTACATAGTTACTGTTTCTACTATTATGTACAAGACCAGCTGATTTGGCGGCAGAATATGAAGATGAAAGACCAATATCTGTCCTGTTTTGTTTGTCAGTCTTTAAACGCCGCACTCGTCAATAGTCCAGTTATATGACGGTTGTTGTGCAGTCCAAGACTTCCAAGAAGGTATGTATCATCTTCAATTTGATTGGTTGGAAATTTATGTATTGAACAAATCAACCTATTTAACCTCAAAGTCCTTACACGGAGTTTCAATCATCAGTTTCTTTTATGTTCAACCATGTCAGATAATATAGAAACAATTCAAGCAAATACATCCAACAGTAAATGCATAAAACGTACATCTGGTATTACATTCGAACTTTAGCCCCTGTTACGACGTAAATTGTAATAAAAAGGTAAATTGTAATACTTGCAGCAAATTGTAATAATTTTGACGTAAATTGTAATAACAACGTTAATTGTAATAAAATTTGACGTAAATTGTAATACGCAAATTGTAATAAAAATTGACGTAAATTGTAATAATCTCAACTTGCGGTAAAATGTAAAAACTTTTTACGTAAATTGTAATAACCTTATAAGTTTAGTGTCAAAGGCGCTAAATGACTAGAACCTATCCTTGTCAGGGTTGGTACAGGGTTTATCTTACAATCGTCATTAAAGTATGGGTGTGGGGGCGGATTGAGGTCGTTATCGTACATTGTTGTATAATTATATGTATATATAAACGCATTGGAAAACCATTTCTATGGTTGTCCAGAAGAGGATTAATTACTAGAATGAACTTAGTTTTCTTATTTATTTGAGAAATACTCTGTGTGTTTTGTATTTAATTGTAATATATCCTATTGACGATTTTCATCATAATTGTTCATTTTTAACCTAATGGAATCATGTTTCAATTGGTAAAGTAGGTAGTAAAATACACAATGAAATAATTATAACGTAACAAACTTACACAAATATATTGATGTGTAAATGTGGAATGTCTGACTTTTACTGACTGAAGCAATTGTTTTTATTTTGCAACTGTATATTTGTACATATTTTATGCGGAGATGGGTTTACGAAGTTGCAAGAACTTGTCCCCAATACAATTCTCATTTTGTTCTGTGAATAAAATATGTTTAAACTAAACTAAACTAGCAAATGTATGACATGTCATTCTGCAGTAGTCTGTGTGCAAGCTGATATATACATGTTCATATACATAATATCAATTTATTATTATTCAAGATTCAATTGTTTTAACGTTAGTCGGAGGATGTAAAGCAAATAATAACAATGTCCTGGGCGATGTACATGTAGGTATGTGAAGCCGCAAGGGTCTATATTGTTAGAATGATACTCTAGCAACTGTACACATCGAAATTTATGACTGAAAGATCCATCCTCGGGTTTAAAATGATGGATTACATGAGGAACGTCTATTCGACAAATAGGTTAATTGATTTATCATCCAATAGTAGCTTAGCTAGGAGTCAGTTGCAATAACAATGAGTTACGAGTTACCAAAGAGAGCTCTGTGCAACCGGACCCTGAAATTATGTCGATTTGCATTGGAGGTTTACTTAATTTGATAAGGAGCACATGACCGTTTCCTTGAAACAAACGAGACAATTCAATGGTATTTATACATTATATTTTGACGAAGAATTCAAATACATCAAATGAGTGACAGATCTCCTGTGCAATGTCAAAGGAAAAAAACAGTCGTCAGCAAATGCAGCATAGATTTCCCATGCATGGGAAAGGAGAATACTTAATACATAACATTATATACAATGTTTTTATTAATATCCAAAGGGGGGCGTGGATATTCTTTACCTACATTGCATATACTATTAGATATTGTGTATTCTCGATCTCTGTGAACTTCTCACAGATAAAGAAATAATAATAAATAAATGCAAACCATGTTTACTTATGCAACATTTGTAGTAATGTATGATTAACATATGAATCATTAATAAAACATAAAATATTTCCTTTCATAGGAAGAAGAATATTTAATGAAATAAATGAATAAATGTAACTGTCTGGATTACTTTCATATGTCATGAAGAACTAACAACAACTTACTGACAACTTTTGCTGGGATAATAACTCCTTGCCCCAATAACAAAAACAGAATCGATCATGATAACGGCACGAAATCATAATTCAAAGCATACACAAATAATATCCGGTATCTTCGGGCATGTCTTGTTGAGTTTCAAAGAGTATCAGAATGTATAATAAATTTGTTGCAATCAATTATTGCTGAAATATATCTGTTTTGATCAAAATTGAAAGGATGGCAAATCTATAATGAAAAGGTTTTTGTCACTAACGTAAATATTGTCTTTGACCTTATACAAAGAGTATTCTAAGATCATTAATCTCGGCAATCGTTGGTGGATTGCGCCAAGCAACCTTGATACCAAATTTGGTACCTCACGTATAATGCGGTACATAATTTTCGAAACAGATAATTGCGTTTTTCATAAGTTATCACTAATTTGTGACATATATACGGACAAAAATTACCTCAGAGGATAATCTTCTCTGGGGGTTTAAGAGGATTAAAATAATTCCAGCTAACATCAAGCACTGTAATAAAATATTGAAATTATAGCATACCTTCTTAACATTCCAATGAAAAGAATAGTGACTAACTAAGAAACCCAATTATATTTATCTCCGATACTATGCCCTCATCAGTATACACACACACATACATACATACACACACACACAAACACACATATACACACCAACACACACACATACATACAAACACATAGGTATGTATGTATGTGCGTGTTTGTGTGTGTTTATGTATGTATGTATGTATGTATGTATGTATGTATGTATGTATGTATGTATGTATGTATGTATGTATGTATGTATGTATGTATGCCAGTAAATACGACCTCTATATGTCATTGGTATCAGATCTACATATAGTTTCAAGTGAAAGATGAGTGACACTACTTTGTGAGAGGTCCCACAAAAATGCTGATATGAGCAATTAAAGGTTATACAAAATGTAACAAATGAACAAAGTAAGATATTTTAAAAGATAAAATAGAATCACAAACATGTAGATATACGAATTAGAATGTAGCAAATACATTAGATAAACGTATCGAAGACATAAGTATATTCTTCGTAGATCATCCGTTTTTCATTTTTTGTCACTAATTTGAGACGGACAATAATCCCAAGAAAGCATAACCTCCTCTGGGGGTTTAAGAGGATTAAAGTAATTCCAACAAACAACAAGCACAGTAATGAAATTACAACAAACTTTGTTAAAACTCTGATGAAAAGACTGGTAATTATCTAAGAATATATATATATATAAAATGTTTTACTGTACTCCGAACAGTTGGAGTACATATATATACAAAGGTACAAAACTGTTTAGGGAAGTTTGATACAGCATTTATCGTACAATCGTCATTAAATATGACTTAGTGTGGGGTGTGAGAACTTTTTGAAACTTGATATATCGAACATTGTTGTATATATATAAACTCACTGGAGTGTTAATTCTGTAGGTTAAGTACGTGGTTATCAACACAATGTATTTATATATAAAAATATATGTTTGGGATGCTTTCCTTGCATTTAAAGTGTGTTAGCAGTAGTTGAAAAGAACGATTCAGCATGAAACCAAATTTGAAATGGGGTAAAACAGTTATTACATAGTGTATGAAATACCCTCTGAAGACATATATTGCAGTCTCAAATTTAGAAGTTTTAACTCAATTTCCGAAAAAAAGTGATAAGGGTAGGCAATTAGAACTAGGTAAAAAATATCGGAGCAAAATATAATTTGACTTTTGGGTAAGTCACCAGTCGTTTCATTGGAATTTTAAGAGAGAATGTTATTGCAGTGCTTGATGTTAGCCCAAATTACTTTAATCCTCTTAATCTTTCAGAGGAGGTTATGTTTTCAGGGGATTATTGTACGTACATATTTCGTATCAAGGTTTCTTGGCGCAATCAACCAACGATTGTCGGGTTTAATGATCTTCAAGTACGTTTCTAGGTCAAAGAGAAAATTTACTTTAGTGACAAAAAAATTTCATTATAAATTTTCAATTCCTTTCTATTTAGATACAAGCAGATATATTTCAGCAATTGATTGTAAGAAATTTATGATAATTCGTATACTCTTTGAAACTGTACAAGAGTTATCCGAAGATACCGGATGTTATTTGTGTATGCACGGGATCTGTCAACTCATTTGTTGTATTTGAATTCTTCGTCAAAATGAATTGTATAAATATGATTAAATTCCCTCGTTTGTTTCAAGAAAAGGATCATGTACTTCTTATCAACTCGTTTAGCGTTTCCACTGCAAATCGACACACTGGTTGACCAGCCTGTGTTTGTACCCTTCGTCATCATTCGTTCAGTCGTGTCGAACTGGTCAACGTACTGTTGAAGCAAGTCATGCAGAAAACATCTTGAATAGCCTTATAAGAGTATTGAACAATATGTCACAATTAAGTTATTTGTCGAATATATGGTTGTGTAACCCATCATTTTGAACCCGAGGATGGATCTTTCAGTCATT